TGACAGAGAGGTCATGCAACATATGATTAGAAAGCTGATAGAAAAGTACTAAGAATGGGTCCTGAGAGTTAATGTAAATAAAACCGAATATCATTCTATGTGTAAGCACCTTGGAAGTGGACGATGGTCAGGAAATTCTGCAATGTCAAGAATATCAGTATCTAGGTATCACATCCGACAAAACCGGAACAGACGTGAAAAAAATAAAATAAAAAAACGAATAGTTAAAGCGAAAAAAGTGAAAAGATGCCTAAATGGAATCTTACGGAGCAAGGAAATACCAAAGAAGATAAAATTCAATACAAACTAGAATGGCAGAAGACTAAACAAAAGCCCATGAGTGAAAGAAATCTCTCATCAGAGGATTGCGACGATAGGAGAGGATGGAAATTAGGTGTTGGACAACGAAGAAAGACGTTCTAAAACGACATATACAGGGTGTCGCACTTAGGCCGACGAGGTACGGTATTATGGAAACCATCATAGACCTTACGTAACTTGAAAACGAATGTAAGTAGCTCGGTAAGTAGTTATTGTATTGCCGTTTGCGCCCGTAATGTAGACATTTTTTTGGTTTTTAAGCACAGCAATGAAAAGATAATATCATGCCATATGGATTTTTCAAGAAAATTAGAAAAAACTGGATCTTGGTTAAACAGCGTCCTCTAAAAGATCCGGTGGGAACTATCGACCCCGATCGAAGTGGTGTTTGTAGAAATAAGCAATTAGTATGAACCGACCCTAGCCTCAATGCTGCCATATGTCAACTTGTCAATCAGCTGATTTTGTATTGTTCCGAGAGTCGAGTGAACCTTGCTTTTGAATAAAGACGCTGTATTTGCTTAATTGAAGTCCTGCAGAGCCCTGAAAGTTAACAGGTTATGGGCCTAGATATCGTGGCTTAACCCCCGTGAAGTGCTGCAGTTGAAAGTTTCAAGCAAATGGCCAAAAATTGCAAAAATTTAAAGACCTAACCTAGAAAGTGTGAACGTCAGTAAACGTTTTGTTAAGCGTAGGAGGAAAACGTTGGTTTTGTGCAAGACAAAGTGGATGGGAAGAAAATGACGACACCTGCACACAACATCAAAACGTGAGGGAACGGGCTACTCAAACTGGGAGTTCAGAGTGAGATTGTTGCTGGAGCACAATGGTGCTAGGAATTGTCGATCGAGAACCACCCACTTGCCCAGTTCAACAAAAATAATCTGAAGGCTCGGAACTTGATTGTCAACTGTGTGGCCGACAGTGTTCTAGATATGATTAAATCTCAAAAAACCACGGCAAAGTCAATTTTCAACATTTTGAAAGGTACCCACATGAAATCAGGTGTTGCCAGTCAGAGTCAAGTCCAATTACAGAGAACGTTACGTAACATGAAATACAATGGTACACAATCACTGAATGAGTAAAGTCTGTTTTTTTTTTAAGATAATTCCCCAAGTCAAAAATTTAGTAACTATGTTAGCAACACAAGCCATTTCTACATAAAAAATTTGAAAGCATTGACAATTTTACATTGTATTGCCAACATAATGTCATTTTGACTTTTATCTTTTTTTTTTTAAATAGACTTTATATTCCAGAGTTTGAATGTTTTTTCACAGCTATTTACTTCGATACCAGAAAGTTACCAGAGTGTTGTGACAGCTCTTGATGTTCTGTTTTGTCGAGTTAGCAATACTGTAACCTTGGAATTTGTCAAGAGCAAGTTACTGTATGAAGAAGTAAGGCAGAAGAATGCAGAAGTTAATGAGTCAAGTGGCTCAGCATTTCTGGGAAAGGGAAAAGCAAGAGGAACACCTAAATTTGACTACCAGAAACGCAGGTTTCCATATAAATGTTATGGTTGCGGAAAAAGAGGCCATAAAAAAGCAGACTGTCCAAATAAAGGTCGAGCTAGTGTGTCTGAAAAAGGTGAGAATGACATATGTTTCATCACGGTGAAGTCAGGAGAACCGTTTCCGAGTTAGACAGGAAATGGTGATGTAGAATTTGTCGTAGAGTGGTGCGACAAACCCTCTAGTCAGATCTGATCTTGGTATGTCCCTAACAGAAGTCAAGCCTATACAATACAACATTCAAGTTGTTAGAAAAGGACAGAGCATACTGGGAACAAAACAAAGAAACTTAAACTTAGAAACATATGAAGAAAGGAAAATTGTGTCATAAAGTGTGAAGATCTTTTCCACAACTTGCTTGCAGTAAGAAAACTCGAAGAACATGATTTGAAGTTAACATTTGAGAACAAATCTGTCAAAATCATGATGAATCAAGATGAAATAATGAAAGGTATCTTGAAAGGCAAGTTGTACAAATTAAACTTCAAGCTGATAAGTAAACAAGCAAATTTGACATCAAAGGAGGAATTACTACATAGGAAAATAGGTCATTGTTGGTGAGTCCCAGTAAAAAAAGAGTGTGAAACATGCCTTGAAAGTAAGCAAACCAAATTACCTTTCAAGTTGCTGCCAGCAGAAAGAAAAGCAGAAAGAATATTGGAAGCTGTATCCTCGGATGTCTGTGGTCCACTGAATCCTACATCACACAGCGGAATGAGCTATTTTGTGAGTTTTATCAAGTATTTCTCACACTTTACTATTGTTTATCTGATAGCTCAGAAAAGTGAAGTGACAGAGAGATTCGAGCAGTATTTGGCAGCAGCAGAAGCAAAAATTAATTGTAAACTTGAGAGGTTACGCAGTGACTGTGGCGGAGACTATATCTCAAATGACCTGGGTACGATTTGCGAGAAAAGAGGTATAAAAATAAAATACACTATTCCAAGAAATCCACAGCAAAACGGTATTGCAGAGCGATTAAACCGAACAGTATTAAACAGCGCAAGATGTATGATCTATGAATTAGGAATCGATAAGAAATTCTGGAATGAGGCCATACAATCAGCTGTTTACTTGATAAACAGGACATCCACCTATGTATTGTCAAATAACAAAAGTCCTGCTGAGATCTGGTACACCGTGAAGCCAAATTTAGACAAAATTCGAGTCTTTGGTTGCGATGCGTTTGTTCATGTCCCTAAAGCATATAGACAAGGAAAATTAGATGTTCGCAACAAGAAAATGTTAATGATACAGAGAATGGGTATAGATTGTGAAATTCTGAGAAGCAAAAAATAGTGACAGCTAGGGATGTGATCTTTGATGAAAAGAAAAAGACAGGAAAACAGTCTGAACAAAAACAAAAAATTGTACCAGGGAGAATGATCAACGATAATGACAGTCAGATAGATGAAAACGAGCAAGAAGTCGTAGAAAATGAGATACAAGAACAAAATGAATGGGAAGATGCTACAGATAGAAAATGACAACCCGATTAGAGAGAGAAGACAAATCAGAAGAGCTCAATGTTTTGATGATTATGAACTTTATGGTGACTTAGATGAAAGCTTAGTGGCAGCTTTATTCATTGAAAATCTGGACAGCGATATACCCAGAACTTACCTACTCCGAAGCTATATCAAAAGGAAAAGGATGGATACAAGCCATAGATCAAGAACTGAGTGCATTGAGTGAGAATAAGACTTGGAAAATTGTTCCATGTCCAAAAGGTGTCAATGTGATCTATTTGAAGTGGGTTTTTCGCAAAAAGGAAAGATAGTGACGGTAAGCTTGTTGAAAAAGCGTGATTAGTGGCACGTGGTTTTAAACAATCAAAATCTAGTGAGCAAAACTTTGAAGTATATTCCCCGGTACCCGGTAGCGCGTATGCTGACTATTGGAATGTTGTTTTCTTTGTCAGTCGAAAAACACTACTTGATTAACCAGCTTGACGTAAAGTGCGCTTTTCTAAACGGTAATTTGCCACAAAGTGTTTACATGGAAATACCCGAAGGACTGGAATGTGAAAACTTGGACTCAGACTGTAAGTACGTTTGTCAGTTGCAGAAATCACCTTACGGTTTGAGGAGAGCACCAAAATGTTGGTACGAAAAGTTGCATAACTTTCTACTAAGCTTGAACTTTCAGAGATCAATATCCTCAGATATAATATTTGTGGTGCATGTTGATAAGATAGTTCTATTTTGTAAATCTGATTCAAAACTTGTCTTTTTCAAGAATAAGATCATGAAAAAATTTCAAATGAGAGATTTGTCACCAAAATCACAAGATAAGTTTATTGCAAAATTTCTGGACTTAACAATCCAGAAAACAGCAACTTGTTTATTTATAAGTCAGAAGGAATTGATTCAGAAAATTTTGCTTAAATTCAATATGTCTGAATGCAAGGTTTCAAGTGTTCAAACATTCCTTATCGTGAGTTAATAGGATGTTTCAAAACGGTTTTTCCTCAGAATATTTAATGCATAAGTTGCGCTATTTGTAGATTACAGAAAATTATGGTCTAAAATATGAAAAATCATAAAAAAATAGTGAAAGTCTGATGTCTTATGTAAATTAAGATTTTGCAAATTCTAGTTTTGCTGACATGTACTGTTTTAAATTTAAATCACATGTATTTTACTTTAGTTGGTTGGCTCATACATAATGTGCCCATTTTTTTGTTAGAAATTTATTTGATTTTTGTGTTGCAAAATTGGAAGGGGGTGTAGAAATAAGCAATTTGTGTGAACCGCCCTGGCCTTAATGCTGCCATTGTCAACTTGTCAATCAGCTGATTTTGTATTGTTCCGAGAGTCGAGTGAACCTTGCTTCTGAATAAAGACGTTGTTGAACAATTTTCGCTCTATTTGCGTAATTGAAGTTCTACAGAGCCCTGAAAGTTAACAGTGTTCTCAATAACAATGAAATTCTCTTTCAAATGAGTCCAAATTGAATGAGTTTGGATCATGGGTATGGAAGATACAGCAATTTTTGAAACTATTTTTTCACCAGCTTTCCCCCCTAATAGTGAAGATCTCTTGAATAAAAAAAAATCCCGAAGCCGTCAGGTCTATGGTTTCCATGATATCCTACCTTGCCGGCCTTAGTGGAACACCTTTGTATATACATATAAATATACATTAATTTCACTATACTTACATATCGGTTTAAAAGATTCTGTTTTTCCCTAAAGTTATCCTCGTGACTCGTTAAATCGGATATAGTTTCCGAAGCTGTTGTTCCGCTAATGGTCAGCAGCAAATGTAAAGATCCTGCGCCGTCTTCGAGCTCTGGCCATAAATTGTAGGTTCGTTCTCGTTCCATGTCCATTAAATTTATTACACACCTAATAGAAGAGAAAAACGGCATTGTAAGGAAATTTATCTTTTCCATCAAAATTAATTGCAAAAATCAATCCTCGAAACTCGAACTCAACGTTAAGAACAAAGTAGAGGCAGTGCTGAAATACCTCCCGGAAAAAATCAAATCATGAATCAAATGTTAAAAGTTGGAGGAAAGACTCTTATCTTTGCTCAAGATATGTCTCAACTTCCAACTAGAAACAGGAAAAAACCTAATCATAGGATTAGATGCTTTGATTGCCTTACAAAATATTTTGGAGGGATTTATTTTTTCTTGAGTTTTATTGACTAACAAGACTGTCAACCCTCTTCAGCTCAAATATACCCACGTCACATCTTATCCGAATTTGAGGACTCACTTTACAAAGGAATTGATTCTAATGGCGTTTCCGATTAGTAGATCTAGTGCGGAAGTAGTGCAATTTTTTCTATTTTTGTCTTTTTCTTCTACAGGTCAATTAAAATGATGAAAATACACTCAGTGCGCACTGAATCTACCAATCGGAAACGACATAAGTAAGATTATTGAATGATATAAAATATTGAATCATGCCAGTCATAATGAATCCTGAAATTAAATGGCGATGAATTGGAAATAGCAAGACGATTTCACTCAAATATGCTCTGAAATTAAATTAAATTGGATTAAATTTATTGAATAATGGAAATAATGAATAGGTACCTACGGAATAATTTTGGCGTGAAACGGATTTTGATTAAAAAATAATTGGATCTATAATTGGAAGTTCAGCAGAGTGAAATACTCTGGCGTGTGGTGCAGCAATGATGATAAAATTATTGGATAAAATCAATGAAAGGTTAAAACTTAACGAGCCAATAATTGAAATATAAATCAATTTCAGTTGCATCAGGAGTGATTAATCTATATAGGCATTGAATATTAAAAAAAAATGTTACCTACTATAAAAGCCTTTCAACCAAATAGGTAATAAATATGAAAGTCCATTCGCATGGGAATTTTAAAATAAATCTACGTCCAAATACCATCACATTTTTAAGAGCTTTTGCTCCGAGATAAGTTTGTCAATTAGCCTTGAAACTATTGAATTTATCGTGGTAACTGAACTTACCTTCCAATATAATCATCTTTCGTCCTATCCTTATCCCAAACTGTAATTTCAAGCTGCTGATCGCCATCGTCGTAAAGATGTAAATCCAATTGCTCCAGCCATCTAGGATTTAACGATCTCCAAATTATTCTACTTTTGTATTTTTCATTACCTAATCTAAAACAAAAATTCACTAATGATTCGGCGCAATTGTGTACGAGGCGATATTTCACCTAAATTTGACATAAGGGTCGGAAGTTCCGGTTTCGGGATCACAGGCTAGTAGATTTTTACCTTCAATCAATACTATCGTTACTACTGAACTCCAAATTTGCGATTTTAGTCTTTTGTTCACGTCCTGTATCCTACTGTTCTTTTGAAAGTACTACAACGAAAACATGAAAATCTAAAAATAAATTGCAAAAGCTCTTACTTGCTCCTTATCCTCTTGGGTCTTAGGATAGAGCGTGGCTGAAATAAATATTTCTCCGAGACAGAAATCCGGCCTTGATGGATCTTGCAGCGGAAAAACTAATTCGTTGCTTCGTCCTAAGTCTAAAGTAGTTAAATCTAATGTTGCACAACCCATAAAATCATCCTTAAACATAATTAAGTTACACTCTTAACATAAATCAGTCTGCGTAACGGAGTGAGGTTGGACTTACCTGCAAACCCCAATCATAGTCGAACACTTTGATTGAAATCGGAAGAAATGGATCCTCGATAGGCACCGTAAAACTCTCGTCCCACACAGGATTCAGGTCTCTGTAAATTGTCCGAGATTTATAAATGAGCCGGCCTCCTATTTTGAATTTTACGTAAGGATCGCTCAAACCTGCAAAATTAATTTTAGGGATTTTCTAAATTGAATGGATTGGATTATTACCGTTTTTGTCCATGGCTACCAGCCCGTGTCCTCTGCGCAAATAAATTCTGAGTTGGAAGAAAGTATGCTGGCGAAGCGTCGCTTCTCTTCTTCTTGATATTTCATCATTGGAAGTTAACTGAAAAACGCAAACTTTGGCTCAATCAATAATAGGAATACGGGAAGAGGCCTGCATTATTTCCATTATAGAAATATTTAATGAAAATCTGACACAAATATTCTAAATAATCGAAATTTGGAGTTTTACCGGCTCTTGGTTGCATTCAGAAAAAATAACCAACGAATCAAGAGCAAAGTCCCGTGTAGGGATTTGTCAGTTACCTCCAACGGGTGCGACCCTATGGGAATTGTGGGAAGGGGTTGGAGAATATATTGACCTTTTTACTGGAGTATCGAAGGAAATGAGAGCAGCTAGAGGAGTATCAATACTGATAAGGCAAAACTGGAAAAACAAAATTAGCAACTGGGAAGCTGTAAATGAAAATATCCTAACGTTCAACTTGAAACTACATAGCTATAACATCACCATTATACAGCTCCATCAGAGGAAGAAAGAGTCGGCATTAGGCAGGAGTTCTTTGACAAATTGGATGAAATCCTAGTAGATATTTGATGAAATAGAGAAATCATAATGATTTCAATGGAAGAACGGAAAGGACAAACAATAGCCCAGTTGTAAAACCATTTGGAGAAGAAATAATCAATGATAATGGCCAAAGGCTCATACATCTCTGTGAGATGCACAATCTTAGAATGAACAACGGATTTTTCAAAGACAAAGATATTGACCGCTACACATGGATACAGAATACCCGTAACCTAAAAACTATTATTGACTATGTGATAAGCAAACAAGGAACAAACATAGAGATAAACAACGTAAGAGTCCTTAGAGGAATAACTTGCGGGTTAGATCTTTATTTAGTAAAAGCCAAAATAAAGATGCAATTTAGGAAAATGAACAAGAACCCAGAGGAACAAAACACCAATGCCATACTTACGGGCACAGTGGATACAACAAAATACAATTTTGAGAGTTTTAGAGATGAAAGCACTGTATTTCTATATCAGAGGCGACTCGACAGCAAACTATTGAACCCTGAAGAATGTTTTTTCAATAAACCCTATGAGAACCCTATTATAAGGAGCCTAATAGAAGTCACCCAAAAAGCAATGGGAACCAAGAAAAAAAAATACTAACAAGAAATACTGGTGGAACGAGGAGATAGAGCTATTAGTTCACTCCAAGAGAATAAGCAAAAATATCTGAAATGGCTAACAACGAAAAATGAACAAGACCTTGAAGTTTAGAGAGACACAAAAAGACAACTAAGACAGTGCATCACTATGGCTAAAAACGAGTCATGGGATAAGAAATTTGAAGAGATTAACGCCTACATAGGAGGAAGGAAATGCTCAGAGGTATAAAGATTTATATCAAATGTCAAAAAACCAGGAAAGGGCAGAGCTAATATCCAGGTAATCAAACCAGAGCAATGGATAGAACACTAAAGGGGTTTATTACAAGAAAGTATACCGGAATATACAGGGTGACTCAGAGTAAATTTCCCTTTTCGAACGCGTCCTGTACATCCAACTTAATATTTGTGGAGGGGTAAGCGCTGGCAATTCACGGCGACTGCGTGCGGATTATCAGTAAACATGGAGCAGGGGTCGAACAAGCAACGCGCGTTTAGTGTCGAGGCGTTTTTTAAATCAAACGATTCTTATGTCGCGGCACGGCGACGTTTTTGTAACCGTTACAATATTCGGCGTATACGTGATACTCCGTCAAAAAATTTATTGAAATTATGGGTTCAAAGATTCAGACAAAGTGGTCCAATGGCAAATTCAAAGCGTCCCGGCCAACAGAAGTCCATCAGAATGCCAGAGAACATTGGGATTGTGCGACATGCTGCGACTGAAAATCCGAGGCGCTCAATTCGAAAACATGGCGGGAAGCTTCTGATTTGGCAATTGCCACTGTACCACTTTGAATCTTGGAACCCACAATTTCAATAAATTTTTTGACGTAGCCTCATGTATACGCCGGATATGGTTACGGTTACAAAAACGTCGCCGTGCCGCGACATGAGAATCATTCGACTTAAAAAACGCCTCAACCATAATCGCGCGTTGTTCGTTCGACCACTGCTCCATGTTTACTGATAATCCGCACGCAGCCGCCACATATTGACAGCGCTAACCTCCCCACAAATATTAAGTTGAATGTACAGGGCGCGTTCGAAAAGGGAAATTTACTCTGAGTCACCCTGTATATTACATTCTGCAAGACATATTGAAGTACATGGAGAAGTAGTTGCGATATCTGAAAAAACACTAAAAAAGAATGCTAAGAGTCATAAGTCAGATAAAGCTAGTGGCCCAGAAGGGATATACCCCGAGATGAAAAAAAAAAAATAAGCTGGACTGCAATAACTATCGGAGCATATCAGTCCCAAGCACACTTAGCAAACTATAGGGTAGAATCCTGCGTGGACATTTGGAAACCCAACTTACATTTGTGGACCTACAAAAATCATACGATACAGTCCCAGTATCCAGACTATGGAAGGTATTAGAACATATCAACATCAATCACACCTATATAACGGCACAAAGAACTGTATGAAGGCTCACAATCAATAATTAAGATAGGTAAAAAACACACAGACACATTTATAGTGAAGGACTACGTCAAAGATGTTGTATCACTCTTACGATTATCAAAATAGGTATACGTAGCAGTAGCATTAAGAAATTGGAAGTGGAAGATCCATGAAATGGGTATAGAGATAAATGATAGGTGCCTGTTTACTCTTCAGTTTGCAGATGATCAAGTCATAGTAGCCAGTGGCAAAGAGGACATGCAATATATGATTAGAAAGCTGATAAATAAAATGATAAATAAAAGAAAGTGTAGTGTAGGCACTCGGAACGGAAACTTAGAAGTAGACGATGGTCGGGAAATTCTGCAATGTCAGGAATATGAGTATCTAGGTATCACATTCGACAACACTGGAACAGATATGAAAGAAAAGCGATAAATTTAACCTAAAAAAGTAATAGGATACCCAAATGGAGTCTAATAGAGCGAGGAAATAACAAAAAATAATTATGAGACAATGATAAAGAGCAACCTTCCATATGAAGTCGAGACTTGGAGAATTATACAGACAGACAAAGGAAGAAAGTGGAAGCAGTTGGAATGGATGCTGATAGGTATTAGGTCCATGCGAATCTCACGAAGAGAAAGAATAAGGAACGGCAATATAAGACAACAAATAAGAATAGAAGGCACGATAGTTCAGGACATTGAAAGGAAGCAACTTTGGTAGAACAAAACGAGGAAGACCAAAACTGGAATGGCAGAAGACCATACAAAAGTCCATGAGTGAAAGAAATCTCTCATCAGAGGATTGCGACGATAGAAGAGGATGGAAATTAGGTGTCGGACAACGAAGAAAGACGTTCTAGAACGACATAAATATCAAGAGCAAAGTTATAATCAAAACTTTGACAATTACTCTCTCTTGATCGCCTATGAAAAATTACTCAACCAATCAAGAACAGGGTTTTAATCAAAGTGTGGCCTTTTACCGGCTCTTGATTGGTTTCAGAAAAATAATAAATCTGATTACAGAAACATAGTATTCGTTTAGCTATTGAACGGTTAACACGTAGTTTTTTTTTATGCGCTCGGTTAATATAAACAAACACCGGGTGTCGTGTTCGCGTGAGTTATATTGTAAGACCCTATGTTATCATTATACTAATAATTCTCCTTTCCTATGTTAATTATAAGCGTACGCCTCTGTCAAAACTTATAATAATGTAAAACTGCTTAATCAGCGGTACTGGTAGTACCACCATTCCGCCTACGTAAATGCTGCATCGGCAGTTATTTCTTATAATTACAGCGTAGAGAGCTTCCTCGAGCTCATTCTAATATTTTTTAGCCAGACTAATAGTAATTAGAGTCAGGTTCATTTGTTTTCGACTTTTACGTCGTAGCAATTGGATCCACATATTTTCTTTTGTCACCATTGTATTTTAATTAATAAAATAAATGTTTTTTTTTTAAATACAAGTTTCTGAATCGAAAATATAATTTGTGTGATGCTGCGTGAACAAGTTAAATAGGAAAGGATAGCGTTTAGTCATCCTTTAGCAGTGTCAGCCACTACCGAAATGAAAACCAACCAGGTATTATTCCAAGAAAAAAACCAGCGTACGCAAAATGAACAGATACTATTTAACAGCTGGAAATCAGCTGAGCAGGAAAAATTAAATGCAATATACAAGGTGGAACAACTATAATTCCAACTAGAAAAAATGCATAAAGATGTATGAAGAACTGATTAAAAAATATTCAGAGATTGAGAAGAAACTATCCAACAACACCAAAGAAGAGATAATTGAATACAATACCGACGAAGAGGAGCTAGCACGTGAGACAGGGTGGATCGAAAGAAAAGAAAAATTGATACTTCGCTTACACTTCCACAACAAAACACCGGGAAACGGCCGGAAATAGAAAAGCCCAAAATATACAAGCACCTCCGCCAAGATTCATCATCATCATCATCAGTCAACCTTTTCGTGTCCACTGCTGGACGTAGGTCTCCCTCATTCTCTCCAGAATAAGCCAATTAGAGTAATGGCCAAAAAACTGCATCATTCCACGGAACCAGAAAGAATAATTCAAGAAATGAGGAATCGCGGCTACAAACTTCTTGATGCCACCGCTAAATTAGAATATAAAACAAAAAAACCTTTAAACATGTTCATGCTATGCTTCAGATCTGACGAGAGTGTCGAGAAAATCTACGGAATTACTGATAAATTAGGATTCAGGGTTGAAATTCTACCACAGAAAATTCAGGCTTGTGCCACAGTGTAAAAAATGCCAAGCATATGGACACACGCAAAAATACTGTGCCATGGAGCTACGACGTGTTAGATGTACTGGTAAGCACCTAACAGTTGAGTATGATAAACCAAAGAATGACAAACCGAAGTGTGTTCATTGTGGAGAGGGATATACAGCCAACTACAGAGGATGCATAGTTGCAAAGAGAATGCAAAAACTAAAGGATAAGAAATCAATTCCTCCAAAGCAACCACAGAGGGACAACCAAAGAGTGCTGCCAGCTCGGCTTATAGACAACATAAGAGTAGGGCAAAAATCCTACAGTCATGCAGTTATTGGTAATTCTGAATTGATTATCAATAAAAATCAAACTTAAAGGCAAGACCAAAATTTTTCTATTCTCTAACAAATTATGGAGAAATTACCAAATATGGATGAACGCATCAGTAGACTTGAATATAGCGCTAAAGGAGTTATTCCTAAAAATCGAAATGTCGAGAAATCTTAGGATTATGGAATGGAATGCCAACGAACTCTTGCAGCACCAACAAGAGCTGCAAGCAGTCCTGGATATTGAGAACATTGATCTATGCCTTAATTTGAGGCACATTATACTACTGAATCATTCATTAAATTTAAGGGATATAAAGTATATCACACTATGCATCCCGAAAATGCAGCCAAAGGTGGAAGTCCAGTTGTATTTAAGGAATCATTTGAGCATTATCAAGAAATCGGATATAAATCGGAACAGTTTCAAGCTGCTTCGGTAAAAGTGAAAACCAGAACATATGAGATCGTTGTCTCTGCAGTATACTGTTAGCCAAGACATGCCCTCAAAAAAGGACAATATTTGGACTTTCTTAACAGCCACGGATATAGGTTCATCATAGGTGGTGATTTCAATGCCAAGCATGTTCATTGAGGATCCAGGTTAACAAATACAAAGGGAAAGAACTGCTGCAGGCAGTTAGTCAACTAAAATGTGAAACAATATCAACTGGTCAGCCAACATACTGGCCTACATACCCCAACAAAGTCTCAGATTTGGTTGACTCCTTTATAATCAGAAATGTATCAGTAAACTATATACACGTGGAAGAAGCTTGGGATATAAATTCCGACCATTATCCTATTCTACTCACGCTTAGTGACAGTATTATACAAAAGGAAATAGCTCGTAGATTAGTTAATAAACTGACAGACTGGAAAAGCTTTAGATTACAACTTCATAAAAATATCAATCTGTCAGTGCCTCTAAGAAATCAAGAACAACTAGATAATGAAACAGAATCATTTGTTAAGATGATCCAACGATCTGCATGGGACAATAATCTGGACAATATCCACAGAACCAAAGGTAATAACTACTCCGAAGAAATCACAGACCTTATTCGTGAAAAAAAAAAGGCTTAGAAGAATATGGCACCAAACCAGATCACCAGGTGATAAAACTATATCAAATAATGCCACACAACAGCTCAAGATGGAGATTCAAAAAATTAAAGAAAACTCTATTGGTGAATACCTAGAAAACTCTATTGATGAATACCTAAGTGAATTGTCAAATGTTGGTAAAAGTGACTATTCACTTTGGAAAGCTACCAAAAAGCTAAAAAGACCAATCCTGGAAAATCATCCAATTAAAAATGCAGATGGTAGGTACATGGGCAGAAAGTGATATTCAAAAAGCAGATTCGCAAAATATCCTGAAAAGACTTTTCAGCCGAATGAGGGTGAAGACATACTCTACTGGGAAAACCTTATTCAAGAAGAAAATACTATTGAACCAGCCACTCCAAAAGAAATAACAAAAGAAATTAAAAAAAAAAAAACATTAATGGAAAAAAATCTCCAGGGTTTGACCTAATTGCGGGAGAAATTTCAAAACAACTTCCTCGTTGAACTGACCTACCACATCAATGCGTCTTTTAAAATGAAATATGTACCTAAGCTATGGAAAGTAGCGGAAATGATCATGGTTCCTAAACTTGGAAAACCGTTAAATGTAGTTTCATCTTATAGGCCAATCTCACTTCTACCTGTAATCTCAAAACTGTTTGAAAAAATACTTCTAAGAAGATTGAAACCAATTATTGAAGAAAAAAACCTAATTTCAGACTATCAGTTTGGCTTCAGAGAAAAACACTCAATTATGGATCAAGTCCACCGGATCACGGATTTAATTGAAAAATCATTGGAGGAAAGGAAAGTTTGCTCTACTGTCTTCCTTGACGTGGCACATGCTTTTGATAAAGTACGGCATGAGGGGCTTAGTTATAAATTAAATAAGCTCTTGTCTAACCAGTTCTTACAATTGTTTAAATTGTATATTTCTGTACGAGCTTTCAGGATTAAGCAGGAAGACGCTTACTCGGAACTCAAAGAAATCAAAGCTGGAATACCACAAGGCAGTGTATTGAGACCAGTCCTTTACCTAATATACACGAGCGATAATCCTGAACTAGAGCATGATACGATAGCCACCCTTCCTGACGATACTGCTATAATGGCTGTAGGCAATAATCATCAAGAAGCGACAAAAAATCTGCAAACATCGGCTAACAAAATCAATAACTGGACAAAGCAATGGTGAATTATACACCTAGATATATACATATTTCTATCAGAATAAACAATATCCAAGTACCTTATGCTGACACGGCAAAATACTTGGCTATAACACTGGATGCGAGGCTGCGCTTGAAAGCCCATGTCAAAAAGAAAAGAGAAGAACTAGACATCAAATTTAGAAAAATGTCTGGCTGCTTGGACGAAATTCCACCCTGGCAATATACAACAAAGTACTTCTGTACAACCAAATTCTCAAACCCGTGTGGACATATGGCATCCAGCTGTGGGGCTGTGCCAGCAAGAGTAATCTAGACATAATTCAGCGATTCCAAAACAAAGTACTAAGAAGCATTATCAATGCTCCTTGGTATTGCAGAAACAGTGACTTTCATAGGGATACACCGTTTGCCAGACTATCAGCAAGTTCGCCAGAAGTTATGAACGACGAATTCTTAACCACGTCAATGTCGAACCGATCGAGCTAGATTGAAAGACTCAAAACACAAAAGTTTTATGTAGAAGTGTGCCATTTCCAATTGTCGGGAACATATCACAGACTTCAGGAAAGCGGAAATCAATCACAAGAGCAGGTAGGTAATAATTAAAATTTGACTTTCACCGGCTCTTTCTGGAAACATATCTATGATGAATCAAGAGCAGGTATTAATCCAAACTTGGACAATTCCTGATGTCTCTTGATCGCCTACAAAAAGTTATCCAACGAATTAAGAGTCACTTTCTGACTCTTGATCGTCTACGCCACCGAATCAAGATCCGGTCATGAACAGAATCTGGATAACTATTGGCTCTTGATTGCATTCAGAAAAAATATCCAACGAATTAAGAGCCGGTAATAAAAACAAAACTTGGACTTTTACTGGCTCTTTATTGCATTCTAGGAACATATCTGACGAATCAAGAGCAGATAATAAGTAATCCAAACTTGAACAATTTCTGATGTCTATTGATCGGTTACAAAAAGTTATCCAATGAATCAAGAGACAATTGAGTCAATTCCTGCCTCTTGACCCCCTACGCCAACGAATCAAGATCCGGCTATGAACAGAATTTGGACAATTATTGGCTCTTGATTGCATTCAGGAAAAATATCCAATGAATCAAGAACAGGTAATAATGAAATTATTAATTGCCAGCTTTGATTTTCTTCAGAAACGAATCAAGTTTATGAACAAAATTTGGAAAACTATTGGCACCTAATTGCCTTTAGAAGAATTATTTATATATATATATATATATATATATATATATATATATATATATATATATATATATATATATATATATATGCTTTTATTTCTATTATTTACTAATATTGATATATATATATATATATATATATATATATATATATATATATATATATATATATATATCAATATTAGTAAATAATAGAAATAAAAGCAGTGGAAATTCAAAATGACTTACGTAGAATAATTATCTTCTTTTTCCAAATTTTTATTCGACAAATCTAAAAATCACCAGATCCCATCGGGTTAGAGATGAATCAATTTGCTAATAAATAAAGAAACTCTATCCAATAACAATCAAAGTTATATGACCAATTTAACGACGCGGTGGGCAGGCAGTCAAAAAGTTTTCACGGCAAAATCGATGGTAGGATTGATTTTCGTGGATACAAAGAGTATTTCAATGTTATTGAAATAAACCTGTCAGCTTTTTTTTATTTACTTTTTTGGTCGTTCTAAAATAATTTTTTTTGTAATAAAGATTGATGGAAAAAGGATCTGATCCCGATAGGGACCTTTCGTCCAAGTTATTTTCTTGGGGATGATTCAGACATAAAACGAGAAGGGATATTGATAAATTTGATAGTTTAGATACCATAAGAAAAATTGGAGGTCATCAGAAATATAAAAGCCGAGCCTTCTTGTCCGATTCAATTTTCTTTTATGTCGATTGTAAAATTTTATTATGGCAAAGTGAAGTTAGTTCTTACCGGTAACAAATCAAGGCCGGCCACGGCTCCTGGAGTCGGTGCACGAGGTCTGGGAGAACCACCTGGAGAACTGGTTGTGTCTCCACAAGTTCTACTCAAAGGAGAGTCTGTAAAGAAAACATTAATTTTATTAAATTTCACACTCATTAAAAGTAAGCACTCTTTTTCCTAGAATTCATTAATATTGTGCTCGTTACAAAACACATTAAACTTTAGCGTGTGAAACTATTTTGAAACATAATTCTAGCTTCAAATAACGTAGCTAGTTATTATCAATTTCATAGCCTAAATCGGTTTGGAAAGCGTACTAAAATAATATTGTCCTATACATAGTAGATACGAAAATAGGGAATGGCAAATTACCTGGAAAAGGTAATTGAAAGGGTAGGGCCAAGGTTATGTACACACCTCTGTGCAATAATGACACGAGCTTTTTTAAATTATGAATAATAATTCAGCTAAAAACGTGTCGACAGTAAACGCCTCATAAAAAAAAGTCTTTGTGAAAGCAGGTGTAAAATAATAAAAACGGTGCCAGTTGTTCTGATTTCAAAGAACTTTTTTCAAAAGAAAACTTATTTCTCTGAGGAAGTTCACGGAAGTAGTCTAGATGCTTCGTAAGATACTAACGAAAATATATAGGTGTTTCCAATGCCAAAAGACAAACATCCCTCTGTCTACTGAAAGTCACATGTGATGAAAAATGTATTTTATTCATTAAATTATCGAATGAAAATAAAAGTACCTCAACGAACCAAATTGGTGGATGCTTTTCAAAAATTACCTTCTACTTACTACAATGTATATTCGTTTGCTGATTATAACTATTAAAATTCTTCATCAAAATTAATAAAAATTCAATGGGGATATAATATAACCAAACCTTTTTAATTAATATTCCACGCTCTGTGGCATATTTTAAATTTCCCAGAAGGTTTATAAAACTATTATCCAGAATTAACCGCAAAATTTTAACAGTTAGTATAATAAGGCTAAAAACTACTCGTTAAATTTATTCAACATCTTAAAATGAAAAGCTTTATGAAGGGTTTGAATTGCGATAATTTGAATGCGGCCATGTTTCAATTGACTTTTGAAATGCAGGTATGAATGGAAGCATTTGCGAGCAAATTAGAGATTACGAAGGATTTTCCATTGAGCAAAATTATTGTTTCAGTTAAGGGTGGAAGGAAATGCAGAATAACAGAGCAAAGCTCACATAATGTGTTAGACTTTATGAAAGTAGGTTTAGGGGCGGTTAGGGATCAGAATGGTTCGAATGCGAAAGCAACTCCAGTAGAAGTAAACAAAGAATTCAGTCTACAATAATTAAATTATGTTTTCATTTGTAGAGTTTACACTTGGATAGTGGTGTGGGGCAACCAAGCACATTATGAACACTCTACTTCCAAATTCTTAATCAACTTCTACGAATGAGAACAGAAAAAGGCTGGTGAAGAGGCCGGTGGTTTGATTACAAAGACAAAAGTACATTAAAGATGAAACGAATGGAACATAGAATCTCTCCAATCCCTGAAAGCAAACACCATCAAATGGTACACAGGCGGTTCCAAAACAGCTGAGGGAACTGGATCAGGAGTATTCGGGCCACGGACCAGATACTCGGAGCCTTTGGGCAAGTCACCAAGCATTTTCCAAGCGGAATTGCATGCGATCGAAAGATGCGTGCAATTCAATCTAAACAAAAGATACTGGAAACGAGAAATTAGGATAATGTCTGACAGCCAGGCAGCTATCAAAGCATTGAACTCACCAGTCATCAATTCTAAGATAGTATGGGAATGTCTACAAAAACTCAATGAGTTAGGAAAAGAAAACAAAGTAATTCTCCTCTGGGTGCCTGGGCACATGGGAGTTGAGGGCAACGAATGCGCAGTTGCACTCGCAAAAACGGGAGCATCTACCCCCTTCACTGGGCCAGAATCATTCTGCGGTCTCGGCAATAAGCACTTCCAAGAAATCCTCAAAAAGGAAGAAAACCGGCTAAGAAACAAACACTGGCTAGAACAGCCAGGACTACGGCAGGCCAAAGATCTACTGGGCAACTTTAACCAAAAAAGATCAGAACTGCTAGTCAACCTTAGCAAGAAAAGTCTCAAAACGCTAACCGGGTTCCTCTCGAGACACTGCAGACTCAAAAAACACCTACACAAATTAGGTCTGGGAGAAAATGGCACCTGCAGATTCTGCGAACACGAAGAGGAAACACCTCACCATCTTTTACTGAATTGTAATGCCATTAGTCGTTCAAGGATGAAGAATCTGGAAAGCCCCACCATACAGTTGGAAGATATTTCAACTCTGGAACCGCTGGATATCCTAAGATTCCTTAAGGACCTAGAACTGGAGGGGCTGCTTTGAGCAGGAAGCCCTGACCTGGCAGCAGAAGGATGGGTACAATAGATCTACCAGGTCGCGGTGCAACTGACAACAACACATACAACATACAACATACAATAACCTAATTTCTTTATGAAGCTAACGAAAGCAGTCGGTCTGGGAATAACTGTGATTGAATAGTTATTTGTTCATAAGGAAAATCTATGATACTTACATGAAATTGTTGTAAGACAAGCAAACAGAATCCTGGAAAGCACTAAAATTGATACACAGTGATGTCTTTGGCCAGATTTATCGAACATCTTAAGAATTGATTAATGGTTTTATACTTTCACTTCTTGTTATACAATATCAAGTCAAGTTGAAGGTTTCTTGACTGTAAGAGACTATATTGCTATGACTTCAGCGAAATTTGATTGAAAATAGCAATATTCAAGAGTTTTCCAAGGAGATCCAATACAAGTTTCCTTCCTTCCTGGAGATGATCGCAACATCACAACATGGAACGTAAAAAGTATGTACGAATCTGGTAAATTAAGAAACATAGAGCAAGAGATGCTGCGATTAGAGATCGATATACTTGGAAAAAGCGACACAAGATGGATCGACTCGGGGTGAACTTGATACAGAGAATGGACGAGTCTTCTACCCAATGACAACCAACACCGCTATAGAGTAGCTATAATTCTTGAAAGAAGCCTAGTGAAATCAGTGGCAGGCTTCATACCAATGTCTGAAAGAGTCCTGTTGCTACAACTAATGACAACTCACGGCAAACTAAATCTAATACAGACCTAAGCACCTACCGCTGACAAAAATGAAGAGGAAATAGAAAACTTTTATGATCTCCTTCAAAAAACATTACAACTTACCTCATCTAGAGACATAACATTAGTTATGGGGGATTTTAATGCTAAAATCGGGGAAGGCAGGTGTAACTCTACTGTAGGATCATATGGACGCGATGTTCCCAATGAGAGGGGCGACCGTCTCATTGATTTCTGTCAAGAGAATAACCTTGTGGTGGCAAATACATTTTTCAAGCTACCCAAGCGATGCCTGTATACATGGAAATCACCAACAGACAAAGATAATAATATCGTTATAAATCAAATCGATTACATCTTAATAAAGCAAAGATACCGAAACGCAATGCAATCAGTAAAGGCTTACCCAGGTGCGGACGTTTTTTGTAATCATAATTCTCTTATTGCTAAGTTTCAACTACAACTGAAAAAGATGCAAACTAGTCACAAAATCGATAAACTAAACACAGAGAAACTTAAATCAGAGGAAATCAGAGATAAACTCAAACAAAAAATCAATGAAAATTTAGAAAGAAATGTCTCCGAATCTCAACAAAATAAAGAAAACCCAGAACAACAATGGTAACTCATTAAAACAACACTTTTAGGACCCAGTAGAAAAGAACTTACGACAAACAAAGATAAAAAAGAAGATTGGATGACAGACAAAATATTAGAATTAATGAATGAAAGAAGGAAGTACAAGGCAAAAAACAACACCTGCTACACAGATTGAAAAAGTGAAAAGATACACTTACTTAGGAACAATTAATACAGAAAACAATGATTATACCGCAGAAATAAAAATCAGAATTAGAAAAGCTCGTAACAACTTTATAAAAATGAAAAAAGTCCTGTGCAGTAAAAAGCTGACGTTAAGTCTTCAACTAAGATTGATAAAATGTTATGTCCACAGTGTGCTTTATTATGGGGTGAAAGCATGGACACTGAATGCAGATACAATGAGACGACTCAACTCTTTCGAGATGTGGACCTATAGGAGAATTTTAAGAATTTCTTGGGCAGATCGAATCACAAACATTGAAGTGCTGAGAAGAATTGGAAAAGAGAAAGTGGTTGAAACTCCAATTAAAGAGAGAAAGTTGCAGTATCTGGCACACATAATGCGGGGCCAGAAGTACAGTCTTCTACGACTAAAGTGCAGGGAAAAATAGAAGGCAAGAGAAGCGTAGGCAGGAGACGAGTTTCATGGCTGAAGAGTCTGAATGCAGCTCAAAAGATCTTTTTAGAGCAACTGCCTCAAAAGTCAGGATTGCGATGATGATTGCCAACCTCTGTCGCGGAGATGGCACTTAGAGAAGAGGAGATGAGAAAATCTATAGATAGAGATCATAATATCAGATCCGATGAGAAATTGTTCAAAATTGTCTAGCGGAATCACAATTATATAGGGAAAGAAGAAATTGATTTGAAATTGAGTATGACGACGAGTAAAGGAAATCGTATCAAGTAAAAAAAAATATTGAGGATAGGGAACATGTACCGGGTGATCAATCTATTCGTTATTCATAATTATTATTGAATTTGACGCACGGATTTCCTTAAGTTGAAGTTGGTTCAACTTTTCTGTGTGTTACGTTAACTTTCTTAATTTTCAAGTGGATGTAAATAACTACCTACGTACAGGGTGTCCCCTTTCAACTGGTCACAAATGCTAGAGTATATAGAAGAACTATAGAGAAGTAGTTTGAGATAGGACACCGATGGTCGGAAGTGCGTCGTTTCCAAAAAAACAGGGTGTTGAAGTTTAAACAACCCCCTTTCATATCATCTCAAGGCTAATGCTAGGCTGTTCAAATTTTCAGGGATTATTGATTTAGGAATGATATTTAAGAATTAGAATTTTTAAACATGATTCGTACATGTACTTATATGTACAGGGTACATACAGGGTGACAATTTGAAAAGTAGCAATCGGG